TATACACGTGGAGTGACCAAATATGCAAGCCTAGACTACTATAACCAGTAAAACTGTCCATCACAATGGATGAAGAAAGAAAAACATCCCACAATAACAACCAAATTTTAGCAATACCTGTCTACTAATCCAGCTCTACAAAGGGAAGTAGAAGGAAAACTCCAGTCTGAAGAGGTTAAGCCTACCCAAGAAACACACAAGGAAAAATACCCCAAGAACTATAAATCAAAGGAGGGACCACACCATAACAAAATAACAGGAATCAATGAACAGTACTCATTGATAACTTTCATTATTAGTGGTCTCAATTCCCAAATAAAAATACACAGCATACTAAATTAGACAATAGGGTGAATCCTTCTGCTGTACCTAAGAAACACACCTTACCACCAAGTATAGGCATCACCTCAGGATAACAATGTGGAAAAAGGTAATCCAAGCAAAAAGACCCAAGAAGGTATAGTCGTTTTAATATCTGACAAATCCAAAATTAATCAGAAGAGTTAGGGAAGGACACTATATACTCATCAAAGGAAAAATCCACCAAGAGGACATCCCAGTTCTAAGCATTTACACACCAAACCCAAGAGCACCCAAGTTCATAAAAGAAACTGCTACAGCTAAAATTACACTAATACTGCCCGAATTGGAATTCTTTCTATGGTCACAATTTCCCTGATACCTAAACTATACAAAGACCCAACAATTAGAGAAAATTACAGACCAATATCCCTTATGAACATAGGTTCAAAGATTCTCAACAAAATACTTGCAAAACATATACAAGAATGCATCAAAAAAAATCATCCACCATGATCAAGTAGACTTCATCCCAGAGATGCAAGGATGGTTCAACACATATAATCAATAAATATAATCTGCCACATAAACAGAAAGAAAAAACCACATGTTCATCTCATTAGATTCAGAAAAGGCATTTCACAAAATCCAACATCCCTTCACAATAAAAGTTCTGGAGAGACTATGGATGAAAGGTTCAGGCATTATGCTGGCCTGCCCCTGTTACCTGGCAGAATCCACTCAGGCACCAACAGCTGCTCCACAGGTCCTGAGTTCAGTTCCCAGCAACCCCATGGTGGCTCACAACCATCCATTATGAGAGCTGGTGCCCTCTTCTGGTATGCAGATATACATGGAAGCAGAATGTTGTATACATAATAAATAAATAAATAAAAACTTAAAAAAGAATATATAAAGAACTGGAAAAAATGGACAATCAAGAAAATAAATAACCCAATTAAAAGATGTGAGTACAGAACTAAACAGAGAGCTCTCAAAAGATGAAACACAAATGGCTGAGAAACACTTAAAGAAAGGTTCAACATACTTAGCCATGAGGGAAATGCAAATCAAAACTACTCTGATATTTCATTCAGAATGGCCAAGATCAATAAAACAAATAACAGTTCTTGTTGGCAAGGATGCAAGGAAAGGGAAACACTTATTTCTGGTAGGAGTGCAAACTTGTAGAGCCACTAAGGAAATCAATGTGGTGGTTCCTCAGGAAAATGGGAATCAATCCACCTCAAGATCCAGCTATACCACTCTTGGGCATACACCCAAAGGACACTTCATTTCACCACAGAGACACTTGTTCAATCATGGTCATTGTAGTTCTATTTATAATAGCCAGAAATTGGAAACAGCTTAGATTCCCATCAATTGATATATGGACAATGAAAATGTTGTACCTTTACACAATGGAATATTATTCAGCTGTTAAAAAAGAAATAGAGAAAATTATGACATTTGTAGGTAAATAGATGGAACTAAAATAAAATAATCCTGAGGAGGTAACTCAGACTCAATAAGACTAATATTGTATGTTTTCTCTTATATGTGGAGGTTTCCCTTTAACCCTTCAATAGGTGTGCTACAATCCATATAGCCACAGAGGTTAGGTATTGAGTAAAGAACTACAGAGGAGGAGAAGATCTCCCAAGGAAGGGTAAATAGAATATATAGTTATGGAGATATGGGGGGAGATTCATGGGAGGATCAAATGTGGAGGGTGATGGAAGAAAGGGGTAAGGGAGAGAATATGGGAAAGTACAGACACTAAGAGTCATTTGATGGGTCATATGGAAACCTACTACTGTAGAAGCTTTCTAAAATATATACGTATATGAAAGAAATAGAAATGGAGTCATCAAATAAGGGGGGGGGGACAAAGGCCCAACTAAATATCTTATTCCATCATATGAAAACTCCAGTTCCATCTAGCTGAGTCATTGGCCAAAGAGGTACCATGGAAATCCACAAACAACAGGGACTATTACCAAGGCTATTGGTTGCTCCCCACAACCTGATGGTATGGTCCTATTGCTGAAGACAACACTTACATATTTCATTAAAGAAAGTCCAACTGGTGCCTAAGTCCAACTGGTGCCTAAGTAGAGGCTTCACCTCTCCTGAGTAGCATTCACAGTCCTGGAAAATACTCTGCATGGTACCAGGGAGAAGCAACCTAAGGTACTTGGGCTATAGTTAAGCAACATAAATCTACATGAAGTTAATTTTTTAATTGAGAACTGCTTTAAATACAGGTGTGTGTGTGTGTGTGTGTGTGTGTGTGTGTGTGTGTGTGTGTGTGATAAGTTTCATAAATATTTCACATTGATTTAAAAATAGAGGGGTTCTGAAACAATATTCTACTAGGATAAGGTATTTATTTGTTTGTTTTACCCAGAATGTCTTGTAGCTAAGCAGGTTAGCAAATAGCCTTGAACTTTCTATGTTGCCTTGCTCCCTACCATAATGGATATGGACTCTAGTAATCTGTAATCATGATCCCCAAGTTAAACGTTTTATTTTATAAGTTGCCTTGGTCATGGTGTTTTGTCATGGCAATAGAAAAGTAATTGAGATAAAAGTTGGTACCAGGAGTTGTGAATTGCTGTGACAGACATGACCATATTGTTTTTCACTGAGGAATGTGGAAGAATTTTAGATTTTCTGTAAGCAGGACTCAGTGGGCCATCCTGTTAGGAGCATGAAAGCAATGGTGCTGAGAGTAATGTGAACTATCACAGAGGCCCAGGTCAGGAGGTTTCAGAGGGGAATAGTATTAACAACCGCATTAGAGATAGTTCAGCAAAGAATGTGTCTGCTTTTTTTGCCTTTATCCTAAGAATCTGCCTGAGATTTTTAGCTCACTAATCCTCCAATTTTTATGTAACTTCTTCTATTTGATGGTTTCTTGGTGCAAATATCTGTCGTCCAAATCTCTTAGATTCTCCAATTCTCATTTTTTCTCTGTATGATTCATTTCTTTATTATAGTTATATATTCTGATATTCTTGTTCCTTTTGTTAATTCTGTAACAATGATGATATTTGAAACTGGGGTGCTTCTTGGTTCTGAATGCTAGGCAAGCAGTCTATAACTGAGCCATGTCAATCTCCCTTTATCTGAGACTGTGTCCTTATGTCCAAATTAATAATAATAATAATAATAATATTGTTATATTGGTTTTTAAGATAGGGTTTCACTATGTAGTACAGGCTAGCCTCAGGTGGACAGAGAAGCTCTGGACGAGAAAGCTGATTTGCTAACAACACCTGATAAGGAGATTCACATACCAACCCCACTGGCATCTGTCACTTCCAGACTGCAGGGGAACTGACTTGCAAGCAGAATTTTCCATCCTATCAAATGCCAAGACCCTATACCACACACATAGTCTTACTTCCAGGGAGAGACTGTGGCGTTAGCTGTTCTGATTTAAGAAAAATTCTCTTTCAGGAGATGCCCATCTTTCTTTCCATGTGGTCTGGGTCAGGCTGGCCCTCTGGCTCTGACTGGGAAAAAGAGATCATAGCAACCCATTTCCTGTTTCATCTTGGAATGAGGCTGGGGACATTCTTCAGAAGTTATTCTTCTGCTACTCTGACAGAACCCTGCACTGTGTCTAGCTACTGTATCAGATTCTTGTTTGGCCTCAGCTTCCTTTTGCTGAGTCCCCGTCTCTTGATTTTCTTTTATTTTGAGCCTACCTGCCCATACTAACCTACCTAATTAAAAAGTATTTTTAAAGAAAAGGGTGTAACAATCCACATTTGATCTTCAAAATAAAGGATTCCACAGGGACTTGGAATGATGTGATGGGGGATGGGCTCACTTTAACATGGGGCTGAGTTCACCTTTAGCAGGAAACTGGGGGACCTTATCAAAATAAAGGCAGCCATCTTTGCTAATGACATCATAAAAAATGCAAAAGACACATGACTTCACCACCATCTTAGCTAAAGTTGGCACCCATAAAACTTCATAGTGCTCTGGGGATCACCTCACCCCTTTTATATTAGACTAAGGAAAAACCACCAGATCTCCAGTGTGGGTTTGTTTTTTGTTTTGTTTCTTTTTTTTTTTTTAATGTTGATACAGTTTTTACATGGCACAGTTACTGACTTCTAAGGAGAACCTAAGCTAAGGAGAACCTAAGCCTCCAACACTGGCTTACTAACACAGGGATCTGACCCTATGAGAGTCACAGATCCCAATAGAGACTCAAAGCATAAATGGCCAACCGATAGATAAGCTGCCACCCACTGGCTATGTCAGTACCCGTGCCTACTGTGCGGGTCCCTATGCCTGACACTTCTGCCTAGGGGCACCAGGCCCCTTTCCCTCTGACTGAGATAAAATATTCTTTCCCTCTCAATAGTCCTTTGCTTCACATGTGTCTGTTTTTGTTGTTTCTGCCCAACCTAACAGTGTTTCCTTTTAAGTTTCCCTTTCACAATGAAAATTATAAAAATATAATCCCAAGGTACAATAATGTTCAAAGTCTTGGTTTATTAAAATATATCTCATGTGTGATTATGTACATATAGACTCTTTGTCCATTTGTGATTATGGTTTGTTTTACATCATATACTTAGTACCAAATTGACTTGTAAGTAAATGTTCAAGTAAACTAAGGTCGTTAACTCCACCCAACTGCAGTTTAAAATAAAATTTAAAAAGTAATAATGATAGTACTCACTTTGGCAGTATATATACTAAAACTTGAACAACACAACGAAGATTAGCATGGCCCCTGTGCAAGGAAGACATGCAAATTTGTGAAGCTTTTCATATTTTTTGTTATTGTACAAGGTGTGAACTCACGAGAACTGTACTTATGTGGCCTTCCTTAACCCTCAGAGTATAAATTGTCTGAGGCTCTGAGTAAAGTTGGCTATTAAATGAAAATGATGATGGTGGTGATGATGATAGCTGGTGGTCCTGAATCTTTCTCTGGAGCAATTAAAGTAAGCTTTTTAATTTAAAAATTTAAATGCTTCTAAGGACAAGACATACAGAGTCATACATTTCTGGTTCTACAGCATGGTAACTATTGCTTGAGGGCATATATTGAGAAATGATCCAGGGCACATTTTTATTGGCCAATCGCCCTCCCTTTAAATAAGAATAACTGATACCTGTGCCTTTGAATGTGCTTTGTGTGTAAATATATATATATATATATATATATATATATATATGTATATATATATATTCTTTTTAAAATTTTAAAGATATTTTCACCATTATTTCACTTAAGAACAAATAAATGAGCAATTATAGGATAAGACTTTCCTTGGCTACTTCACCACTATGATGTCTATCCATGTCTGAGAAAAACATGCTTAAATACTTCTTAATATTTAATATTTTCTTAAAATACTGAGGCCACTGTCTTTCTGGAAGATCACATCCCACAAATATAAAGCATTTTTTCACACCCTAGCCACCCATGTTCCCTCCCACTTCTCTCCTTTGTCACTCATTTCTTTATCCTTATCCTTACACTCTTGCCCTGCCCTTTAAACATTGTTGGACCCACCTCCCTTAAATGGCCCACATTAGCTCTGCTAGTGGCTCTCACCCTACAGAAGCCCTTTTAGATGCTACAGAAGGGGCTCTGGCTGCAAGGAACTCTCAGCCCGTTTACCCCAGACACAATTCCTTACATTAGCCCTCTGTTTTCCCCCAGCTCCCTTCCTTCAAGGCACTACAGCCCCTGTTGCTTCTGGTAACTTACTTTTATGGAACTGGTCACTATGGATCCATATTCCTCTCAAGCTTTATATATCAAGTGAGCCATTCCCCTCCTCTACCTTCCTGGGGCAATCTCTCCCTCTCACTTTGTATCCAAATCATCTGTTTCCAGCACTCTAACAATTACTTTTCCAAAGTTCCTCTAGGTCCTAGAGTCTGGGAGCACATGACAACAATCAGAGGATCCACTAAAGCTGATGAAGTCAAAACTCACCACCAACCCAACCTCTGTCCTCTCAGATCCTGGGGACAAAGTCTAAATGCTCCCCCCCATCATCCCCCTCCCCCAGGAAGTAACCAACAAAAGAATACTTTGTCCCTTTCTCTTTTATCTATCCTTGGCGTCTGGAGTGAAGGGTTAATGACCTAAAAGCCTCAGGTGGACTGAGAAGCTCAGGACAGGATAGTTGACTTGACTGATAATGTCTGTGGAAGCTGCTGATAAGGAGATCCACATACCACCCCTGCTGGTGTTTCCAGACTGCTAGGGGACTGACAGGCAGATGGAATTTTCCATCCTCAAGGTTCCCCTTTCTCCATCCTATAAAATCCCACCACCCCCACTGTGCATGTGCATACTCCAGGGCCAGCCTGAGGCCTTGCACTGTTCTGATTAAGGAACAATTCTGCATCTGGAGATGCCTGTCTCTGTCTCATTTCCATGTGACCTCCGTGAGTCCCTATCTAACAAAAATATCTTACTTACAAATACAAATCTAAATCTGAAACATAAACAAACCCTAAATCTATAGAATTAAATACAACATGGAGTACCAGATGTATTTTAAAAATATTCCCCCAAAACAAATCCCTCAAACAAGTTCTTGAGTGTAAAGGAAGAGAAAACAATTCTTTAAATATTCAAGCAAGTTTTTTAAGGAGGCTATATGGCATCATGTCATATATGTTAGACACCCGAAAACTCAAGTATCCGGGCTCCCAGGCCACGTTCTCGGTCACCCCAATCACCAGGCGGATTCGAGAGCTTGCTGCAAACTGCACGAGGCTTTATTGTAATTTAATGAGCTAATCCCATGTTAGCTCGGGTCTTTCATCCACCCACCAAGGCAGATGGCTAGAAAAGATGGCTCCTAGGGTCTCCCGAAAGATCTTATAGGGCAGCGTAAGGGGAGTGTCTAGGGGTATGCACAGGCTTACAATTGGTGTGCCTCCAGGCTTGGAGGGCTTGCCCTGTGTTGATTGGTCAACTGGTTGTTATGGCCCATAGGCCCTCCCAGGGTGGTTGCTATGTTTTCTACGTCATTGCTGTGTGCTTGTCTGTAAAGCACACCCAGGGTCGTAAAGCCACCAGCTAACTTCTGATTGGTTCCTTGTCACGAGGAACCTGACTTTCTAGTGTCTAGAACAAGGTCATAGAAGCACGTGTTCGGCCATTATGGCTGCCAAAAGGGAAGCTGTTTCCTTCAATATAGAATATGACTTAACTAAAATTCTAACTTTTTAAATTGTGATCAATATTTTAGCCGGGCAAGATGCTGTTCGTGTACAAAATCAATAGGAAGATGTTCTTTAACTTGGAAAAATCTTAGGAAGTTTAAAACCATGATGTTAGCCCACAGATCTTGAGTGAGGCTTTTCCAAAACAAACGGACTTACTAAGCCATTAAAAATACTAACCAGAAAAGAATGTGGTCATGGGACTGTTACCAAATGGGTTAAGGGGTCCATCCTTCATTCTACTGGAAGAATATTCAACAGCAGGGTAAGAGCAGTCCCTCTTAGTGTTAGCAACTATCCTCTCTGGCCTTCCAGCAATGGGACAGCTGTCCATTGCTGCCACTTTTGGACCAGTCCAGAGACAAACCATGGATATGTAAAACAAAACCATCCAAAATATGTTTGATCCACTAAGCCAGTGGTTCTCAACTTTCCTAATGCCACAACACTTTATAATACAGTTCCTCATGTTGTGGTGACCCCAACCATAAAATTATTTCATTGCTACTTCATACCTCTAATCTTGCTACTGATATCAATCATAATGTAAATATCTGTGCTTTCCGGTGGTTTTAGGTGACCCTTGTGAAAGTGTCCTTCGACCCCCAAAGAGGTTTTGAAACAAAGGTTGAGAACTAGTGCACTAAGGGGAGAAGCATTCTAACTGTATAAACAAAAGGTGACCTTACACATGGTGCTCTTCCTGCTACTATAGACTTGCTGTGTGTCATCACCCCAGTTTGTGAAAGCCATAAAACTTTGGGTGTTTTGGAGAATGGGTAGGGCTACTCCTGAACTCGAATAGGGAGATCTGAAACTTTTTTTTTTTTTTTTTTTTGGTTTTTCGATACAGGGTTTCTCTGTGTAGCTTTGGAGCCTATCCTGGCACTCGCTCTGGAGACCAGGCTGGCCTCGAACTCACAGAGATCTGCCTGCTTCTGCCTCCCAAGTGCTGGGATTAAAGGTGTGGGCCACCAACGCTCGGCGAGATTCAAAATTCTTATGGTACAGGTCTGAAACTTTTGCACAGGGCAGGGTCATCTAAAGAGACCATGGGATATTTGGGGCTATCATGATGTCAAAGAGAAAGAAGGAAGAAATAAAGGGAGAGAAGAAAGGAAGGAAAGAAGGAAGGAAGGAAGGAAGGGACAGGGAAGAGAGGGAGGAGGGAGGGAGATAAAGAAAGAAGGAAGGAGGGAGGAAGGAGTGAGGGAGGGAAGGAAGGTAGGACCAAAAGGAGGAAAGAAGGAAGAAATAAATCTCTTTTACCTTGCAGGATTAGGTCCTTCTGCCTTACGATGACTTCCACAACCACCAACAAGAATTCTACAAAGAAATGGAAAATAAAGTCTTTGTGTGGTATCACACCTATAGCCGAGTACTTGGCAATGCCTAGGCAGGAGAGTTGGTGCAAGTTTGAGGCCAGCCTGTCTCAAAACCACAACAACAGCAGCAAAGTAGGAAATAAGTCCACAAGGCCCAAGCATTTTTTAACAAAATCTTGAAGAAGGTAAACAACTTACATTGAACCCAGATAGGTCACTCATAGCAGGGTGGGAAATGTTTAAAGATAAGAACACAGCCCTAAGTGCTTCTGTCTGGGTTACTTAGGGTTAATAGGCCAAAAAGTTCTCTCATACTCAGGAGTTGCCTCTGATGTCCTAAGTCAAGGTGTCAACATGCATTCAGAAAGGCTGGGTGGCCTTTGGTTGTGTTGGATCTCATATGTTCCCCAGATCTGACATGTTGGAGGTTTGGTCCCTACCTTGGCACTATTAGGAAATGGTAGAACTTTTAGAAGGTGGGGCATAGTGGAAGGACAGTAGCTAACTGGGGACTTGCCCTTGGAGGGGAGAGGGGACTCCAGTCCCTCCCTGATTCTCTCTGCATCCATGTCACCATGAGGTAAACATGCTCCTTCAAGGACAGAAACCCCTGAAGCCAAGGAAACCTTCCCTTCTATGATTGACTTTTTCAGGTTTCTTGTCAGCCTCAGGAAGCTAACACAGTCCCTATTTGTTAACCAGTAATCACCCATATCCCACCGCCCCCCCCCAACACACTTCCACTTTCTGATTATTGCAATTAAATTTAGAATGTTTGAGGAAATGTATCAATAAGTTTTTCCTCGGGGAAGAATGAACTGCTCGCAGTGAGATCTAGAAAACCACACTCAAGAGCCTCACAATTTAGGAAAGCAAGCAGGACTCTACATGGAAAAACGTAAAAGTACAATGAACGAAATCTACAGCAGATGAATTTTGGAGAGACTGAGACCTAGTGATTCCAGCTGGGAATGTTTGTAGAGTGTTTGCCTAGCATGCAAGAGGTCCTGGGTTCTAACCCCACCATCATAAACCTGGATGTAGTGGGGCAGACTTGTAGTCCCAACACTCCAGAAGTAAAATCAAGAAGATCACAAGTTCAAGATTCTCCTCAGTGAGTTCAAGGGCAGTGTAAGTTACATGAGACCCTGTTTCAAAAGAGAAAGAAAGCAAGCAAGCAAGCGAAGTTAGTAATTTCCTCACCTCACAAGCAGAAAAACACTGGATGGTATCTGAAATTGAACTGTACTAACTTTACTTTTTCATTAGCTCTCATTGTTTCCTCCCTCCCGCACCACTTCCTTTCTTCTCTATGGACTATAACATTAACTTTCTTGTTATCAGACTTTTCTCATAATAATGTCATTTACTGTGAAAAGTCATTGAAAATTTTGAAAATTTACTTTGGTGTGCTTCATTTTCATTTTTTAAAAATTCTGTCAAGTGGAAAGAAAAATTTAATGATATACTTTTCATTTAAAGTGGCATCTAGGCTGAGCACTGTAAGACACACCTAAAATGACAATAGTCAGTAGGCTGGACTAGGAAGGGCACACATGCCAGCCATGACTACATAATGAGACCCTGTCCAGAAAGCAAAAGCAGCATCTGTATTCAACCCTACTCTAATAAAATCATTTGTTGGTGTGCACACGTTGAATGTTCTTGTATGTGCATTCCTGTGTGTGTGTGTGTGTGTGTGTGTGTGTGTGTGTGTGTGTGTGTGTGTACCTTATATGGATTTAATATTCAAGTGCAGGTGATAATTGGCAGAATTTGGGGGTTTTCATCCCTGAAATGTGTTGTATCTTTTTGTTTGTTTTGTTTCATTTTTGAGACTGGATCTCAGGTAACCCAGACTGACCTAGAACTCACTTTGTAGAGGTCAAAGATGGCCTTGAATATTTGACATCCAACCTCTGCCTCCTGAGGGCTGGCATCACAGGTGTGAGCCACCACACCCAGCTTCAGTTTCTTGACAGGTTTTTACATAATTTGCATTCTGATCAAGCCATGAGAAACAAGCCAGGAGAAAAGGCAGCACTCCTCCATAGCCTCTGGGTCAGCTCCTGCCTCCAAGTGGCCCTCTGCTCCTAAATTACTTTTGGTCATGATCTTTATCATAGCAATAAAAATCTAGTTAAGACAGTGTCATACCTAAAACTCCTAATCTAAGGTCACAGAGACTTCTACTGCTTACTCGTAACAGTTTTAGCTTTTAAAATTTATTCATTTATTTTAGGTGTATGTATGGTTTGTCTATAACTCAAACAGGGCAATTACTGAAGCAGAGGCCACAAAGGAACACTGTTTACTGGTTTGTTCCTCATGGCCTGATCAGTGGACTTTCTTATACAATTTAGTACCACCTGCCTGGGGTGAGAGCACCACACACAGTGGAAATAAGCTACTGCCTTCTCCACAAGCCAATCTGATGAGGGCATCTTCTCAGCTGAGGCTCTCTCTTCCTAAGTGACTCTGACTTATGTCAAGTAGACACGAAACAAGCCAACACACTTACTAAACACCAGCCAGCCACTCCCCTCTCCTCTAATTTCCCAACAGTTACCAACAAGCCAGCACACTTACTAGACAACGGCAGACATTCCCCTCTCCTCTCATCTCCTGACAGTTACCTTGGTGTTCTTCTTCTGTGAATTTGGCTACTCTAGATAACTCACATCCAGTGAATTCATGCCTTATTTGTCTGTCGTTTTGTGACTGGCTCATTTCACCAAGTCCTCAAAGTGCACTCTACTAAGACTTTGGTCAGAATTCATTCCTCTTAAGGTCTGAATAATATTTTATTTTGTGTGCATACTCTATTTTCTTTATCTTTTCATCTCTACATTGGTACTTGAGTTGGTTCCACCTTACCTGATGAAAATAGTGCAACCTTGAATATAGGTGTACAAAATGTCTGTCCCTGTTTTCAATTCTTATGGACACCCAGAAGTAGAGTTGATGGAGAATATGGTAATTCTATTTTTAATTTTTTTCCGAGAAAATGTTGTATTTTATGGGTATTTTACCTGCTGTGCATCACATGCATGCAATGCCCTGTGAGACCAGAAGAGGGCATTTAATTCCCATGTTAGCCAACAAGTGGGCTATGAGAATCCAACCCTGGTCCTCTAGAAGAACAGCCAGTGCTCTTATCTGTTGGGCCATCTCTCCAGCCACTACTTTTAGTGTTTTTATTTGTTTGTTTATGATCATACTATTTCTGTAGTGTCTACCATTTTATAGGCTCATGGACAAAGTGTAAGGATTACAATTTCTCTACATCATCCCCACCATTTTCTGTTTTGTTTTTAGCATAGCCATCCTAAAAAGTATGATGTACCATTTCCTTGGGGTTTCATTTTCATTTTTCTCATGATTATAATGTTGACTTTTTTTCTTGTGCTTATTGGTCTTCTGTGTGCCTTCTTCAGAGAAGATATATACCAGTTCATTGTCTGTTTTCTTTAGATTATCTTATTTTATGTGTATGGATGTTAGCCTGCATGTACAGATATGCACCTCATGCATGCCTGATACTACAGAGGTCGGAAGAAGAGCTCAGCACCCCTGGAACTGCTGTTACAGATGCTTGAGAGCCACCATGTAGATGCGGGTAACTACCCCAGGGTCTTCTGGAAGAGCAGTCCATTACTCTTGACCTCTCAGCCATCTCACCAGCCTCCCATTTTCTAGGCAGATTATTTTATACTATTTTGGCCTTTTTTTTCAGTTGTAAATATCTCTACATAGCCTGGATATTAACCCTTGATCAGAGATATGTTATATAAATATTTCCTCCTAGTCCTAGTATGCTTTGTTTACCCTGTTGATTATGCCCTAGGTGTATAGAAATTCAGCTCTGATGGTTACATAATTTACCTGCTTTTAATTTAGCCTATACTTTGTGTGCCAGATCTAGGCACTCCTTGCTAAACTCTGATATAATGCTTCCCCCATATATGTTTCTTCTATGAGTTTTACAGCTTTTGTGTTACATTCATACTTTTGATTCACTAAAAAATTAATTTTTCAAATGGTTGTTGTTGGCTCACACCTTTAATACCAGCACTCGGGAGTGTGGCAGATCTCTGTGAGTTCGAGGCCAGCCTGGTCTACAGATCGAGTTCCAGCACGGCCCCCAAAGCAATACAGAGAAACCCTGTCTTGAAAAACCAGAAAAAAAATTAATTTTTCTATTTTTTCTCATCCGAGGTTTTTTTACCTTTGCAATTTTAAGCTAAAGATATAATTTTTAAATGTAACATATAATTTTTAAAATATAAAATAAAGCGGGGCATTTGTGGCACATGCCTTTAATCCCAGCACTCAGGAGGCAGAGGCAGGCAGATTTCTGTGTGTTCAAACCAGCCCAGTTTATAAGAGCTAGTTGTTCCAGGACAGCCTCCAAAGGCACAGAAAAACCCTATCTGTCATTTGGGACATAGACCCACAGCATTTAAGACTATGGACTATCTAGCAGAGAAGCTGTATGGAGCATAGTAAAAAATGTCTTTTAGACATGTAAAAATAGTTTAGTTGGGAACCCCACTACACCTAAGGCTTCGCCTGTTAACCAGAACCCAGTGACATCACTCACTCAAGAAAACCAGAGAGTCCTAGAACCCACGACGTCCACTGGACAGTCTATTAGCAGAGACCAAGAGCAGTGCTCTGTTCTGCACATCTGGAGAGATACCACCTTGATCTGCTCTGCAGATGGAGTGTTTCCCCCTGGATCCCCACTCTTGAACCAGAGACTACCATGATAGATTGGACCCCATCTTCAGCAAAGATACATTGAATAGGTGAACAGCCTTGGGGAGATAGGCTTAGGGATGTAGTTAGGAATTTTAGAGTGTGAACCTTGTGTGATGACCCTCAGCATAATTAAATATAACTCTCAGCATAATAAATACTATGTGTGTCTACCTTTCTGCTCTCATCAGTGTTCACACGTAGACTTCCTTCACTGAGTTTTCCCACCTGGAGAGGTATGCTTGGCCTGGACACAGCAGTCCCACAAGTCTACAAGAAGAGCTACCTCAGGCTGCTGTACATGTTTATAGGGCAGAGGAAGAGGGGAAAGACTGGAAATGCGTCAATTAGGGAGGAGCAAGAACTTCCTGAGTGGAGAAAATGGCCAGTTCCACACAAGCTGAGCTCATGGGATCACCGGAAGCCACAGTTCTGTTGAGCTAACTCAGACTTGCTCATCCAGTCATTTGATGCAAAGGTATGGAGGTGGAGAGAAGCAAGCTACCAGGCCCACTATCCTTTTGTTTCACAGAAATAAGCAAAGCCTGATTCTCTACACTCCCTCAGCCCCTGTGTCCCACAGCCTAGGCAATCAACCACTTATATCTTTTTTAGTAATTTATTCTGGGATTATACTTTTTATATTATTGAGTGTGTGTGTGCTTGTGTGTGCGCATGCATGTGTGTGTGTGTGTGTGTGTGTGTGTGTGTGTGTGTGTGTGATTGGTGATGGAACCAAGGCCAAATTTTACATGCTAGACAACTGGTTTACCACTGAACTACACCCCCAGCCCTGCTATCCTATCTTGACTCATTTTCTTTTCCCTAACTTGTTGGGTTTTCAATAACACAAAGCAAAGCCTTCCTAATCCTTCATCCCTGTCTCTATATGTCATGACTGAGGCTAAGTACTCTTTTGTATCCACCCCTCTATTCTCTTGAGTATTTAGTGGAGTACACTATTTCCTAGGCATTCTTGCAGGCGCTGGAGAATCAAGTAATTGAGCAAAGTTCCCACAATGAATTAAAACATTATAGCTAACACATGCTCATAATGAGCCAGGTACCTGGATGGTGACATTTCTTTCTGGTACTATATTATGTTTTTCCTGTTCCCCATCTGTTCTGTTGTTTGATTAGTTGTTGTGCCCATATTCTTCTCCCTTTCAACAGGACTGTGTGGCTTTGTTTCCAGTTGTGTCAAATGCACAAGAGGTCACTCAGTTCTTCCTTTCTCTCTGTTTTAAAAATCCATGTGGATCACCAGACATCAGGACTCATGGAACGTGGAGGCAGCATGATCTCTATCAGTTCAAGGCCAGCCTGGTCTATGTAGTGAGTTCTAGGCCAGTAAGGCTGGGTACAGTGATACAAACCTTTAATCCCAACATGTGAGAGGCAGTGGTAGTTGCATCTCTCTGAGTCTGAAGCCACACTTCATCGACATAGCAAGTTCCAGACCATCCAAAGCTACACAGTGAGACCCTGTCTCAAGACATCAACAATAAAAATCCCCAACACCTCCCAAAAAAAAAAACAAGAAAAGAAACAAAACAAAAATCCATGTAGGTTTTAGACACTTCTTTTCCTATGAGTTTGTTTTTATTCGTTGACCTGGACAGGCAGTGATTTCTTCCAATCTAGATGCTGATTACTTTCTCTTCACCATGAGGAAATTTCCCAGAATTTAAAACATAGCTTATTTCATCCATTTTCTCTTTTACCATTTCTCTTTTTCCTGGTAGTAAAATAGCAGAGTCTGCATTGGTCTTCTGTGTTCTAACTGAATTTTAATTGTTGTTTTTAATTTTTACCCCCACCCTGCTTAATCTCTGAAAATTTTCTTAGTCCTTGTTATTCCTTTTTCATATTATCTGGTTCTCACCTGTAATATTTTACCACATTTTAATGGATGATATCTAACCATATTTCCCATTTTTTCTGTTATAGTGGGACATTCTGATTGCCTTTTTCTTGAGTCTCTATTTGTAATTTATGTTCTGCTTAGAAAAGATTTTTAGATTTATTTCCATAGAATCCTATGAAGAAAACTTTTATTTTCAAATCTTTCATATAGCTGTGATTATATGATTCATATTAATTTGCATTAATTTCAACTCTTGTTAGCTTCATTTTCTCCTCTTCTACTTTTCTTTTTCTCCATTGTAGTGACTAAATACTTAGCTCTTTGTACCCTTATCATGAGATTTTGGTGAAGTATAGAGTTGGGGTTAGGGGTGCTGTATCAATATATTACTATGAAAAATATTACTAAGCTAAGAGTAGCCATTAAGGCTAATCAGCTAAGTACAAAATGCTCCTTAGTCTCTTCCTACTTTCTTTTGTCTATTTATATATGTGCTGAAATGCAGAGTTGAAATCAGTGAGGAGCTGGCAGCTATGGCAGAGGTGAAAACATACTTATCAAGATAAAAGAATGAAAGCGGCAGCTTCGGCATTGCGCTGTGTGGTCAGGCTCTCCAGGAACGTCTGCCAGATGACAGTGTGCAAAGATTTAATACACAGGAACAATTAAGGGATGGACATTTGAAAAGGAGTGGAGGGGTACAGCATTCCACTCTCACATGCAATTAGTGTTGCAGCCATTCACTGATGGCCCAGCAATAATACTGGGGATTACTTTATTAGAAAATGTCCAGATACTTCCCCCAAAGTGTCTTCAAGCTCCAAGAAAAGGCCACTGAAATGATATGTTTCTGAAATCCCATCTTGTATTTTTATTATTCATAGTGTTCTTGTGATCTTAATTAAAGAGTTTTTGAGGGGGACTAATTATTTGTTTTTAAACAAAAAAAAATTCTAATAGTTCTCTAAATTCCAACCTGGTTTTTCCTCATAAAATTGGAGAAAATAGAGGCTTTGGATCAGAATCTGACTTTTTTCCTAACACAATTAGAAAAAAAATCAAACATATCAAAAATGTGAAATGTAGGTACCCATATACTAACCACCTGAATTCTATAATCAGGATTTTTTGGCTGTATCAGCTAGAAGCCGCATCTTCCTAAGCTTATAAGGGACATCGAATGGAGTTAATGTTCCACCATAATTACACAGAAGAATTCTCTGTGCTTCATGAGAGTTCTGTACTATGGCCAACTCCATGAACGCTTTCAAACAAGTCAACACAAGCCGGCTATTAGCGGGGTGGAGGAGCTTCCTTCCAGAGTTCTTCCCAGCTTAAAGAAACAAAGTTTCAAAGTCACCTGGCTTGTTGCCTAAGCACACTACAGTCTCTGACTCTTAGAAGCAGGTGATAGCCATAGCAGAAACTTAGAACCTTCTTGGCTGGGCAACAAGAGAGCAACTGCCACTGCTCTGTCCCCAAAAAGGGACCTAGACTATTCGGAAGAGGAGGGTGGGAACTGGTCCACTTCCTCTCAACATTATTTTTACTACCCAGGGTTTACAGGCAACTGTCAGCCTGGACAACTCATGTTCTCTACACGTTTGGAAGATCTTCTTTGCTTCTGATTGGTAAAATGTAAAGGCTAACACAATTCCTTTCTTTACACACGTGCTTGAGAGCATTATGAACATGCAGGAGTACACAGAAGTCAGAAGAGGGAATCCGATCCCCTAGAACTGGAGATATAGGCAGTTGTGTGCCACCATGTGGGTGCTGGGAATCATACTCCAGTCCTCTGTAAGAACAGAAAGTGCTCTTAACTACTAAGTCATCACTCCAGCCCCAATTCTTTTAAATATAAGGAAAACAGTGGCAGTCACCTCTGTAGGCCAGTTCCAGCTAAGGTATGTGATGTCTGAGGGCTGACTGTACAGAGTTCGGGTTTTCAGACATGAATTCAAACCCACACTGTAGCTGCCTTAGCTGTGTGAAGTTAGGGCCATTAGAGACTATGACTGTCTCTTCCCTTGCAAAATAGGAAAAGTTTTATAGATGAAACAATACCCATCAAGTTCTTAATGTAGTGCTCAATGAGTGGCAAGTGTTCAATCGATGAAACACAAAATCACTGTTCATTAATTGCTAAGGATATCGCTTTTAAATTCTCTGATTTCTTTTCAAGCTCTTGTACATTTCTATATTTGTATGTTGAGCCTATTCCTTCTACCCTCCCTTTACTTGCCTCTTCGGCCTCCTATCGGTCACCCTTGTCACCCTAAGGAAACTACTCTGGTCTGTATAGAAAGGTCATCCGTGACATTGGAATTTAAAAGTTCGTTATTCGGGCTGGCAGGGTGGCTCAGTGGGTAGTGGTTCTGGGTGCAGACCTGATGGCCTGAGTTTCACTCCCAGATCCCAGGAGGTGGGAGGAGTGAACTGACTCCTGAGCGCTGTACTCTACCCTCATGTGTGCTGTGGATGTGTGTGCACGCACACGCACAAATAGCAAAATACATTTTTACTTTTATTATTTTTATTTGATTGGTTCCTCCTCCCAACTCCCCCAGGTCCTCCCCACCTCCTTACCCACCCAACTTCATGTTCTTTCTCTCCTCCTGTTATTTCTCTCTTAGATTCTTTAAAAGTTAATTATTTCACTGATAGTACACCATTTTGTAATGAGAAAAAATGCTTTCATGTAATGTCTATATCTGCTTAATTTAGGGTCCCTGTGATATAGTTAAGATTTGAGACCCCCCCTCAAAAAAGTCTATGTATTGAAGATTTGATCCCCAGTCCACGATGTATTAGAAGGTGGCTGAACCAGGAAGAGGGGCCTCCTGGACGGAAGCAAAAGATTGGGAGTGTCTTTGAAAGGGGTGTTGGAAGGTAGACCCCATCCTACCTCTGTCTTTGCTTCCCACTGTGACGAAAATAGCCAAAGTAGTGGCTTCTCCACCACACCGCCTGATAGATTTGGCTACAAGCCCAAAACTGAGACCATGAACCCAAACCTTTGAGACAATCCTTTGCTGCGTACAAACTGTCTCTACAACTTCCATGGTGAAAGAAAGATGTCGTGGCTGGATTACACAATGTGCTCCTCAAATGATCAAGGTCTCCTTCCACACCCTACAAAGTGAGAAGACAGGCAGGCTTTGCTGTTTGGTTTGCCTTTACCTGTCTGAGGGCTAATGGTATTAGTTTATGCCTGCACACTTTAAAACATTAAAGTAGCCGGGCGTTGGTGGCACACGCCTTTAATCACAGCACTCGGGAGGCAGAGGCAGGCGGATCTCTGTGAGTTCGAGGCCAGCCTGGTCTCCAGAGCGAGTGCCAGGATAGGCTCCAAAGCTACACAGAGAAACCTGGTCTCGAAAAACAAAAAAAAATAAAGTATTAAATAAAAGGTTCAGATGTCCTCAAGTGTTCTAAATCCTATAGAAAGCGAATATTCAAACAAACGCAGCTTTATTTTAAGTTCCTTATTTAAACTTTTGCTTTTGCTTCTACAGACAACGCCTAGTACACCAGGCAAAACTGAAACCTGCAGGCTGTTCGGAGAGTTTTCATTTCCCGGACTCCAACCGCTGGTCTCACAGCTGCCCAAGCAACCACTTCCTGAAATGCAAACACACACGGGTGCGCTCGCGCACGCGCGCACGCACACTACCTCATACCATACATCCTGATGACTGAGTGAGTACTCGGGAAATCTCCAAACCTTCAGTTCGTCACCAGGGACCGGCTCTGACCGTGGAGAGACTAGCTCTGGAAACTTCTAGTCTCTCTACGGAGGTCCCTTTCTGCTTTTCTTCCAGCGACGTGATTCTGAGTGGCTTTCCTGAGCCCGCTCTCCCAGTCCTTAGGAAGAATCTGCGGAGTCGCTGACGGGAAGCAGGTGTCTGGCGCCATCGGAGGGCAGGCCCGCGTGGGAGCCGCTCGTCCCGCAGCGCATCCCAGGTGACTCCGGCCCGACCCGTCTTTCCTGGACCGAGGCGTTTAGAAGTACCTTAGAAACCGCACCACCCGTCAGCTGGCTTCAAAACAAAGAGTCCTTTCAGCCGCTTCAGATGCTGGCTCGCTGCCCGTCCTCCGCCTTTCTCCACCTCCTCCCCTCCGCCCGGCGCCCCGCAGCTGCGTGGGTGGAGGCGCCGCTTTGTCCCCGGAGGCCGGCTTTATTTCCCGCCTTTGTGGTGGACTAGAGAGGAGTCACCCCCGGGAATTCACTGTACAAATCCCAAGTTTCTTTTCAACCATCCTGGTTGGGTCCAGGAGAGTCTGTCCCCATCAGGCCCAGCAGCGCCACCTTCCGTGGCGAAGAGCGCACTGCCCAGTCCGCCGCTGCGCAAAAGCCATACGGGTCTGGCCATTGTCACTATTCTAGTGGCGCTCAACATTTGAGCAGCTAGAGCTTTCTTGGCTGAAAAGACAGAATGGTTATGTAAACAACCAGGACGTGTTTCCTGATTTTCCTTTTCCCTAGCTGCTTCCTATTTTAAATGATTATGTACTTTCAAAACTTCTGTATTAACTTTGATGAATTCCTCAATGTTTACTTTCTCTTTTCTATGGAGAAACTTTTTTTTAACTTTTTAATAATTTATTAAAATATTAGTTTGCTTCTTATGTTCAGCATAGAAAAAAGCAAAATAAATCTCTGTGCAAATTTTCCGAGTCACTGTCTTGTAACAAATGACAAATCAATAAGAGAAAAACCAAAAGAAGTTTATTATCAGGTGTATGGAGGAACTTTTTTAAACATTGAAAAATTTAAGGAGCCAGAAATCAATCTTTGGCTGCCATGTGAATTTGGGAGTTTGGGGGTCCATATAGGTCCACACGTCTATAAGCTGTCTGGGGAATTCTAGAATGGGGACAGATGGGGCTTACAAGATCTGTGTAGAAATGAAAACAAAACAAAACAAAACAAAAAAGACTACAGCCTAAGCAAAAGATCAAGAGAGAGAGAAGGCAGAACAGTGTGCAGAGAAAAACAGGCTGGTGGCCGTGTACAGAGGAGTACCGCACTACATACAATGAGTTATATGAAGTCACATTTCTGCTTCCGTGGGAGTGGTCACAGTATTTCTAACGTTGTATTTCATAAAGGTAGGTGCTGGAAGAAGAGTCCGAGGCAGCTGCGTCACAGTTCATTGAGTCAGCTTTTAATGAAATTTGAAAACCATTGCCAATTTGTAAAAAGGCCACCAGAAACACTCGGAGAAGGCTGCATGAGCCAGACATGTAAAAGAAGTGCCTCGGGTGACTGACAGAGGGAAGTTTCTCTGCTCTTCACCACAAAAAACCACATTTGATGAACAGGAAGCAGCCGGGTCTGGCACACAGTAGACAAGTGTTTGCAAAGCAGAGGTTTGGATTTTCCTCCCGAGAACAATCTTTATCTAAATGACTACTTAGAAAATAGTATGTTACTTGAAAACTTTTTTTTTTCAGTTCAAGCTCTTTTCTTCTCCTAGGAAAAAATTTTCATTTGATGGATATTTCTTCTCTAATTTAAAACGGGAGTTATGAAGCAATGTCACAAATTACTCTTTTTATTTTTCAGCTTTGAAATTATTTTTTAATTTTATTTTACACCCAGACCTCGCAGCCCCGAGGCAGGGTGGACAGCTCAAACTTTTAATTCCAGGACGCGGGGGGGGGGGGCAGTGAGAAACAGTTCAAATTCAAGGCTAGTCTGGTTTACATAGTGACTTTTAGACTAGCAAGCTACCCAGAGAAACTCTGCCTCAAAACAAAAACAGAAGGGAAAATCCTTGTTTGCATGTATGAGGTACAAGTTTGCTTTCGTGCATAGAAGACAAACCTTGACTGTCACGCCTCACCTTTCACCTTGTTTGAGAAGGGGCCTCTGCTTTTGTTTGTTTGGGGCACTGCCAGAGACCTCCTGGAGACTAGGTTGGCACTGCCATCATCATCACAACTTGCTATTTTATGTTACAATGCGTCCAGCCTTACTGCAACCCCTTTCACACCTCATCTTACTGAATGTCTTATTTTAGTATAACCGAAGGCAAACTTTTCCTCTGACCTCTGCTTCACATCTTCCCGAGTCACAGTGACCCTGATCACTTTAAATTTAAAGTCGTTTCAAAGACCCGTCCAACATCTGTATTTTACGATCAGGGAACTGAGATTTTCTGAAAGGAGAAGTGTCGGTCTCTGTCTCTTCTCTTTCCCTCCCTCTCCTATTGTCCTCTCTCTTTTCCTCCTCCTTTCTGGCTTGGCTCTCCTTGTGTAGCCCAGGCTGGCCTCGAACTCACAGATAACACCTGCTTGTCTCCTGGGTGCTGGGATTTGTTTTGGGGGGGGCGCGGGGGGAAGTCCAGACAGGGTTTCTCTGTGTAGCGCTTTGGAGCCTATCCTGGCACTCGCGCTGGAGACCAGGCTGGTCTCGAACTCACAGAGATCCGTCTGCCTCTGCCTCCCGAGTGCTGGGATTAAAGGCGTGCGCCACCAACTCTCGGCGTTGGGATTAAAGACCTGCTCCACAACGCTGGAAGAGTCGCTTTTTAAGTGTAATGGAGGTTAGTTATAATTGATAATTTACGACGCACTAAATTAGACAAGTCGTGTCCTGGGAATCATTCTACTCTTTAGCTTCCTGGAGAGCCTTAGTGACTGGAGGACCGAGCGTTTCCCTCTTCCAATCAGGGCTTGGAGACGCAGGGCTACACCAATTGAAGGTTGCGGGACCTTCAACAAAGACCAATCGGATGCTTAGAGCCTAACAAGTGACGGGCAATCAATCAGAGCGCAGGAGCGGAGGCCAGGGAGCGGAGGGCCAATCAGCGTGCGAGCGGCGAAGGGGCGGAGCCTTCGCGCAAGATGCAATGCGCTGCGCGACTGCGCTGCGAGATCCGGAGCGGAGCCTGAGACCAGGTCGAAGCTGGTAGGGCTGGGCGCGCGGGTGGGAAGGACCGGTTTGGGCGTCGCCTGGGAGGGGTGCGGGAGGAGTCTCCGACACTGTTGCCATGGCAACACAGGTGCCCAGTCCTGGGGGCAGGGTCCCTGCTTCTGGACAGTTTTCAGGCTGGAGCCCCTAGGCCCACAGGGCCTCCAATACTCCAGGCTTGCAGGTTGTCAAGCTGCCACCTCTCCACTGCCTGCCTTGGCAGCCTGCACACCTGCGATCCCGACTCTTCCCTTGGGGCACCAAGAAAACAAGGCTTAGCAATAGGACCACTTGTGCTGGCTCTCAGACAGTTCGCCCCAAGGCCACCCCTGGGGTGCAGTGCATCTGCCTCATTCTGGAGACTTGCCACTGTAAGATAAACAAGAGTGTCTCCAGAGATTTTTTTCTTTCTCTTTCTTTCTTTCTTTCTTTCTTTCTTTCTTTCTTTCTTTCTTTCTTTTTAAGCCACCCAACGAAGTGCTTTGTGCACAAGTAATTCAGAGAACAGGGTCTGAGTGAATAAGATCACAATGGCAAAGATTCCAGGACCCAACTCTGCTCAGTAGAAATAGCACATCATGTGTGTCATTTTGCATAGGAACCATGGTAGGGTAACAATATGTCAAAATTTGGTATATTTTATTTGACGCAAACATATATTTAAAATTGTGCCTTTTGTGTCCACCCAGAGCCTCCCAATCCCTTGTGTATCTTACAGTAATGCCAGTTCCACCAGCCTCGTTTCAAGTGTTCAGTGCCCATTTAGGTAGTGGCTGCCATCTTTGTTTAGTTAGGTTTTGTTTTTTATTTTGAGTCAGGATCTTGCTATGTAACCCAAGCTGGCCTTAAACTTGTGATCCTCCTGTCTTATCTCCCAAGCATTGAAATTATAGGCATATACTGTACATGCTTGGCAAAGTAGTATTTAAAAAGAAATTAAATGTATTTGTATGTGTGGACAGTATGCAGCCAGTTCACCTTGCAGATCCCAGGGAATTGAATTTGTGTCCCGAGGCTTGCTAGCAAGCCTTACCTGCTGAGCCATCTCACAAACCTGAAACTAGTGTTTTAAATGGATACAATTCAGGCAGTGGTAAAGATAAATGAAAATATACAACTGAAAAAGAAGATGGTTTATAGTTATTGTTAGGAATTCAAGGGAAGGAACCTTTGGGCTCATGTAGTAGCAGGTGTGTCCAGTCCGTGGCCCGGGACAGTTGTGAATGTTGTGTAAACACCATCCCAACGCCAAAGTATAAACTTACATTGTGAGACTCATTTTTCCAATTTTTATTTGTAACTCATTTGTATGGTTTTTGAGAATACGTTTTGTGGGTGACAGTATCGTGTTGCAATGTCTAAAGGTTAGATGTGCCTGTGAGAGGAGGACTTGAGTCTGATCTTGAAAGAAGGTAAGTCTTGGACCAATGGAAAATAAGAATGTTGTTAACTCAGTGAAACTGAAAGGAGCCTCTTTTTTTTTTTTTCAGGATTGAAAATTAGCCAAATCCAGAGATTTGTGGACTGTAAAGGTGTTCCTCTCCCACCAGCAAGCTTCACCATGATTCATAGTCTTTTCTTGATCAACTCCTCTGGAGATATTTTCCTGGAGAAACACTGGAAAAGTGTAGTCAGCCGTTCTGTTTGTGATTACTTCTTTGAGGCCCAAGAGAGGGCCACTGAGGCAGAAAATGTGCCTCCTGTTATCCCCACTCCGCACCACTACCTCTTGAGCGTTTACCGACACAAGATCTTTTTTGTGGCTGTGATTCAGACAGAGGTCCCGCCTCTGTTTGTCATTGAATTCCTTCACCGAGTAGTGGACACGTTTCAGGTTTGTAAACGTGGGAAGGTTTGCATCTATAAACTATAAACCATACAAGAGCCATGCGCTTGTATGTACATGCCCCCCCCCAAACAGCCCCTTTGACAGGCTTTAATTCTGTAGTCCAGACTGACCTGAGCTATATAGCCCAGGCTAACCTCATATTTGCTGCAGTCTTTCTGCCTCAGCCTCTAGGTGCTGGGATTATAAGCATAAGCCACCATACCATCTTGCAAAATATTTTCATAGTCCTGTCTCCATTGTTTGTAGCTTGAGTTAAGAACAATTTTTTAAAAAAAAAATCAGAACTGGCACTCGGGAGGCAGAGGCAGGCGGATCTTTGTGAGTTCGAGGCCAGCCTGGTCTCCAGAGCGAGTGCCAGGATAGGCTCCAAAGTTACACAGAGAAACCCTGTCTCAAACAAACAAACAAACAAAAAATCAAAACTGAGCATTGCTCATTTCCTGTCTGAACTAAGATTCTTGTTTCTGTTTTCTTAATTGGCTGCAAAAGGACCAGTTGGATGCTTTTAAGCCTCTAGCATAAGAGAGCCACCTGATCCATGAGTGTGTGGTCTTCTTGGGTTTGCTCCTACATTTTGCTCACAAATTAGGGTTCAGATGTGTGTGTGTGTGTGTGTGTGTGTGTGTGTGTGTGTGTGTGTTTTACTTTAGAGACAGGGTTTCTCTGTAGCTCTGGAGCCTGTCCTGAAACTCGCTCTGTAGACCAGGGTGGCCTCAAACTCACAGAGATCCACCTGTCTCTGCCTCCCCAAGTTCTGGTATCAAAGCAGGAATTACAGGTTTGAGATTTTTTTTTTTAATACTGTGAAGTTTATGCTAACCATTGTTAGCTTTGAGTTGCAATCAAAAGCAGTGAGTGTAAAGCTCAGTTTATTTTAAGTCCTCCTGGCAGGGGTCATTGGTGAGTTCAGCCTTCGTTTTAGTGAGCTGAGTACAGGTAGCACGTGTGCTGACAGAACTTCTTGTTACAGTTTTCCATTCTTGTGAGAATATGAGATACAGTGTGGTTTTCATTCTGATTTGTAGCTCTGACACAGTGGTTCTCAACCTGGGGGCTCCAACCCCTTTATGGGTCACATATAAGATATCCTGCACATCAGATATTTGCATAACAATTCATAACAGTAGTAAAATTACAGTTATGAGGTAGCAATGAAAATTATCTTGTGGTTGGGAGATGTCACCACACCAGGAGGGTCAAGGTTGAGAACCACTGCTCTAAGGGAACAAGGTAGAGGGAGGTGAGTTACACCAATATGTAAGCACAGATCCAGGCAGCACAGTCTTTGTTCTGGTGGTCGCTCAACTTCAACTGTGTGGCCATTTGCATTACTTGGATGAGAGATGAAGAGCAGGGAGGGCTCTTTGGTTTAACTGTTTGTCACATGAGGTCTGGAGTTAAGTCACATGTATACAAGAACTGTGGAGGAAAGGGGAGGAGCATGTGATTGACAGCTTGACAGCAGCTGAGCAAGTCTGTTCTGTCCACAGTGCTCACTCACTCCCACGTCACGAGACTAGAAAACTGTTTTCATTGGGAAGAGAATTAAAATACATTTTTACCTCCAAATATTATTATAGAATTCAAGTCCCCATGCTGCGTGCTAGTCACTTTGCAGTGACCTCCTAAGACTACAAGCCCAGAATATGGAGGAAACGGAAGAATCCAGTAGTTAGGTTAAGCTTTCTATCTGGGTTCTGCTGTGATGTCCATGCACTTTACCCACACACAAATTAACAGTCTTATTATCATACCAGTTACTGCATAAATTACTATAAACCGGGGAGTGAGAAAAGTTGTTTATTTAAAACCATAGAGGTGACGACTTGAGAGAGAACTCATCAATTGAAAACACCAGCTGTTTCGGAGGACCCAGGCTCCATTGCCCACACCTACATACTGGCTCACAGCTGTCTGTAACTTCAGTTCCAGGCGATCTGATGCCCTCTTCTGGCCTCCGTGGACACTGCATGAACATGCACAGCCAGATAATACCTGTACCTATAAAAGAAAAATTAACAACAAAAAAATTAAAACCACAGAGGGAGTTAGGAAGGTAGGATAAGATCAGTGTTGAAGCTACTGGTAAAATCAGACCAGTGTGGAGCTTAGTGTATAGCTTAATATTTGTTCTCTTGCAACATTTTTTTCCCCTAGTTCTTGAAGGTAATGGAGTCCCAGCAGTGGAATTGCAACTGCTTTTGCTGTGGCATCTTGCATTGTAAGGTCTCTTTCCACAGTGTGTTTGATTTATAGAACCCCCTGAAATGAGTGCTTGTTTTTAAAATAAAATCACTGTTTGGAAAGAAACGTGGTATTTTCCTCCAATTATGTTCTCTTTTTGTTTTAGGAATGTGTTCTTTATTCTTAGTGAATTTATCAGGAACATTGTTTTATCTTTTTCTGCAGTCTGGGTGATGAATACATTTGTTGTGTCTTCACTAGGACTATTTTGGAGTTTGTTCAGAGCCAGTGATCAAAGACAATGTGGTTGTGGTCTATGAGGTATTGGAGGAGATGCTGGACAACGGGTTTCCCTTGGCTACTGAGTCAAACATCCTCAAAGAACTGATAAAGCCCCCCACCATTCTCCGGACAGTGGTCAACACCATCACAGGTGTGAGAGGTTTGTGGGTGTGGGCGGGGCTGCAGGAGGCCGATGCTCCCTGAAAGCCCTGGCATCTCTGAGTCCTTGGGTATCCCATTTTACCTTTCATATGCTGTGAATCTAAACTTAAATTATAGTCATATGTGGAAAGTACTTCAATTTTTATGTAGCTCCTGGTGGTAGAGCACTTAGCATGTAATCTCAGTCCTGGGAAAAAGAAACGTATTTAACAGATTTTCTTCTGATTAAAGGGGAAAATATGATTAGTATGGAAGCCTCAGAAACACAGAGAAGCATAAGAAGAACATGAAAACCTCCAAAGTTAACTACTCTTTTAATATGTATACACATATATGGCATGTGTATATATTTCTCTCTTCTAGATAGATGAATGATGAGTAGATAGAATACATTTTAATGTAAACTTATGTATATTAAATTTATGTTTTGCCTGTATGAATGTTTGTGCACCACTTGTGTGTGTGTTCCCTGGGGAGGCCAGAGGAGGACATCTAATCCCCTGGAACTGGAGTTGCAGACACTTGTGGGATGCCAGGTGGATGCTGGGAATTAAATCCCTGTCTTCTAGAAAAGCAGCCATCTCTCCAGCACTCAGACAGAATACTTCTAAATAATGTGGATATGTTTTTAAAATCATACCTCTTATTAAAGTTTCATGATGTGATATACTGCCATGATTGTTAGTGACCAGTGTTCTACGTTAGGTAGACCCTGATTTATTCCTCTGGCTCCTGTTTTGATGTTCCTGGTATTTTATCCTTTCAAAGGACTAGAACTCTCATGTTTGAGTCTTGTCTACTTGGTTCTAGAGATGCAGGAGCCAGGCTGAGGGGGTTTAGAGATTCCCACACACCAGACTAGAAAAGTCACGGCAGCCTTTACTTCCCATTGCAGAATCCATCCCTGTCATCAACCCTGCTAACTTTTGAGGATGTGAGCCACTAGACTCACACTTGTTACTAGGGAAAGTTTCAGACCCGTTTGAGTATGGACTTTTCCCTCTGTTGTGACTTTTTTATGCGCTTTGTTCATTTTTTTTCTTTATTGAGATGTTTCTGTCTCTTTCAACATCGACTTGGAAGAATGCCTTCCGTTGGTGGTTGCCCTCTGCTACGGAAGTGTGCCTCTTGGTTAGCAGGTTCTCCTTTGAAAGCTCCATCCTCCATGTTCCCCAAAGCCTGCTACTTCCACTTAGCTCTGTCATGGCATTTGCTGAGCCACATGTAAAATGTTTGATTTAGTGAAACTCATGATTCATTGCATTTTTACATGCTTTGTCTTGTTTACTAATGGGGGTTTCAGAGAACTTGACAAACAGCTTTGTGAGGGTGCTGCAGCAGGGTTGTTTTGCCCTGTCAGCCATCAAAGCAAATTAAGTTCATGTGGCTCATTCGACAGGAACTTGGGGTAGTCACATTGGAAGACAGAAGATAGATCTGCATTTTTTTTTTTTAAAGGAAAGCGAGAGGAAATGTACCAGATGCATGCAGTGACGTTTCGATGATTTAAAACATAGTTCGGACCCAGCAACAGTGTGTTGTGTTTTTCGAAATAATCTGAATTTAGTTCAAACCTTAGAATCTTTGTGAGTGCTACAGAAGAAGTTCCTTTAAACCCCCGTTTTGAGAAGCTGGAATGTTTTATACATGTGCTGACTATCCATGTGTTTAGGAGATCTTTCTTTAGAGTAAAAAGATACAGGCAGTGGGAAAAGGAAATAGGATTTAAATTAGTGACAGTCATCAGTCCACTCTAAAATAAGCTTTGATGTCTGTGGGAGCATCTATCGAGGAAATGGCACACAGCTGCAGGGACAGGGCAGGATCTGGCTGAGTTCTGTCTCATCCAGTGTTGGAATAAGACAGACCCTGTTGGTATAAACACCTCCACCTTCCATTACTGTGCCCAAGAACCTGCCTTAAACTAGAGTCCTGTGTCACTGATGGTGATGCTGTGTCAGTGTGTAGGTGCCCAGCCCTACAGAAACACAGTACATTATGTAAGCTGTTGTGGAATTTGAGATCCTTCTCAGTCCTCGTTACTCTCCAAACCAAAATATGATATCCACTTCTCAGGTGGCTTCCTTTAAACCTTTACTAGAGGCAGCAGACCAGATGGCGACAATGGATTTTAAAATTAGACCAAGCTGTGCTACAAGGAGAAGTGGAAGGCTTATCTTCCAAATGGTAGCACACGAATAACAAGGTTGTAGAAACATCGAGGAGAATGTTTGAATTGGCATTAAAATACCAATTTGATTTTAGTCACCACTATTTATTGTCCCAGGAAGCACCAATGTGGGGGACCAGCTTCCAACGGGGCAGCTGTCAGTGGTGCCTTGGCGACGGACTGGAGTGAAGTATACCAACAATGAGGCCTATTTTGATGTGGTTGAAGAGATAGACGCCATCATCGACAAGTCAGGTGGGTGCCCTGAAATTGCTCTCTTAGTGTGGAGAGAGGGGCTGCTTTTCTTGAGTGTGTGCGATGATGCAGCCGACTCTCTCACACTTGGCCCTTTGTGGAACTTCTCTTGAAGGAGAAAGAGGAGTCTCGGGGCTGAGGATTGCAGTAAAGGCACAGGGTGGGGAAGGAGGAATCGGAGTGTCAAGCTGAGTATGACAGTACATTACGCTTCACTGAATTGAGGCTGCAGGATCAAGATTTCCAGGCCATTTGGGACTGTGCAAGCCAGACTCTATTTCAAGAAACCATGAAACAGTGGGGGAGGGGAGGAAATACAAAGTGAACTCCTGTTGGTTAGATTTTCTGTTTTAACGTATTGGATTCCCAGGTCTGGAGATTCCCAGATTCCCAGATTCCCAGAACTAGAATCATAATGACAAGCTTTCTTTTCTGTTTTTCTTGTTTTGTTTCAGTTAAGTAAAGAGAAGTAGGGAGTCCTGGGGCTGAGGACTTGGGAACGCTTCACATTCTTGCATTTACCCACCCACTGACTGCTCCTGGGAACTTGGTCATAGCACTTGGAGAGACTGACCACAGGAGTTAGTCTGGAAAAGTGATCCAGGTGAAAAAAGTGCAGGCAGATGGGCTCGGCCTCCTGCAGAGGCAACTGCTCCCCTCAGCAGAGTGAATTAATGATGTCCTGGCTGCTTGGGGTTCACAGAAATGAGCTGGATTGAGGAGCGTGAAGGGAAAGTAAATAATGAGACTTTTAAACTAGGGCATCACAGTATGTCTTCATATTAACACAAATAAAAATAGTACTCCACGGGGTGACTGTATCAACAACAACAAAAATGATTAATAAGTCTTGATATAGTCACCCCATGGAGTACTATACAGCAGTAAAAAAGAATAAATTACTGATCCACCCACCATCATGTCTCTTACACTGTTGAGAAAAAAAGTAAGACGTGTATGTTACTCTACACCGTGGATTGCATTTAGTGACACCTGAAAGCAGGGGGCACATTGAGGCAACAGAAGTCAGAATTAGGGGGAAGTGAGACGTCATTAGCTAGGAAGGAGGGGGAGAGCATGTGTACCATGTTACAAAGTTTCCACATTTGATGTGGACGGTATTTAAGAAGGTGTATATATGCTCAAAACTTCACTGAGCTGTGGGGTTTTTACATCTTGATATTTTTATATCACTGCAAAAGAATCTCTTTAATTGACACCAGAGAGGTGATAGTTCAGCAGTTAGGAGCCCTGGCTGATCATCTCTAATGGGTTGGATTCCCAGCACTGTCTATAGCTCCAATCCCTCGTCTGGCCACCATAGGCACCATGCATGCACAGGTGGTGCACAAACATACAAGCAGGTAATAAATACACCCATGCACATAGGATAAAAATATAGAAAAAGTATTTTTTTAATTTTTTTATTAGAGTGGCAATCTGTGTCGGGCTTGATGGCATATGCCTTTAATTCCAGCACTCTAGGGAGGCAGAGGTAGGTGAACCTCTGTGAACTCGAGGCCAGCCTGGTCTATGTTGTGAGTTCCCGGCCAGTCAAGACTAGATAGTGAGACCCTGTCTTAAAAAAACCAACAAATAAAAGAAATACAATGGCCAGTCGTGTTGCAGTGTGGGAGGCTGATCTGCAGTGAGGTGGACTGCAGGCAGTGGCAGCATTAGGAGGTTGTGCCTGAAGTCCTGGCCCAAAGTATAGGTGAATAAATGTCCCTGGAGAGGAAGGAGTTGGTTCCCAGACAGACGTGTGTACTTGCTATCCCAGCACTAGGAAGTGAGGCAGAAGGAACAAGTGTGAGGCTAGCCTGAACTACAAAAAAATAGCATTTAGCTAGACATGGCAAGAGCAGAGGTGAGAGTAGGCCATGTGTAACTAGCTCGGGTAGCTGGATGGCTAGTGTCACCTCAAACAACAGAAATGGGAGCCTTCATGGATCAGAGCAAATTTGCTGTTGGCGACAAGCTTGCAGCATTGGTGATACCTGGAGAGTCATCCATTAGTCAGCAGTGAGGCCGACCTTGAAAATGTGGTGTGCCACAGGGTCTGCACAGGTGCCAGACAGCCAGGGTCCCAGTGCTGTGATGGGGAGTGGGCAGGGACTCCCACCCCTAACCAGAAGCAATTGCAATTGACAACCACTTGCAAAGAAAAAATTAGTCTTCCACAATGGAGTCTCTCTGGAGATATTAACCACACTTAGGGCAGACTCTGAGCCCAGCAGGGGATGGTCAGTGGAAAGTGAACTCAGCAGTATTATTATTATTATTATTATTATTATTATTATTATTATTTTCGTTTTTCGAGACAGGGTTTCTCTGTATTGCTTTGGAGCCTGTTCTGGAACTCTCTCTGTAGACCAGGCTGGCCTCAAACTCACAGATCTCCTCCTGCCTCTGCCTCCCGAGTGCAGGAATTAAAGGCGTGTACCTCAATGGTATTTTTGTTGAACTTTGTCTTATATAGCTCCATTTGGGGATGGTTTGTTTTATTGGACTTTGCCTATCTTGGTTTCCCATTTTGTGGGTTTGTTGGGGGTTTTGCTTATGCTTTGTTTTTTAAAGGGGGAGAGGAGACATTGAGTTGGGTGGGTAGAATTTGGGAGGCGTTGGAAGATGGGAAAAATGTGATCAGAATATATTTGTGTGGAAACAATTTTTTCCAATTAAAAAAAAGATACACAATGCAAATAATTGGGTGTGGTGGAGACTGCAGCCTTGGGGAAGGCTAAGAACTGCAAGGAGAATAAAGAGAGGAAGTCAAGGCCTGAGTATACATGTGTCTTATTAGAACATGCAGAGAGAGACCTGCATGTGTTGGGGAAGACCAGCCAGGGACAGAGGGAAGGCTAGGAGAGAGTGGGGAGAGGGAGGGGGAGGAGAGAGGGAGGGAGGGAGGGAGGGAGGGAGAGAGAGGATTGCTTGTAGAGAGCAAAGACTGAAGATATGTGGACAGAGACCTGTCGGGTGAGGGCCACAGGCCACCCCTGCCTTGGTGGCTGAGCTCCCGGAAGGCAGCTTCTGCTAACAGATCTTCTGAAGCAAAGGTTAAGGTGCTGGTGGGCTGTGGCTCTGGCACTAGATGGAAAACCTGTTAGGCCACCCAGGCTCTCACTATTCTCTGTCTCCATGCTTTCATCAGAGTTCTTAGATTTTAGCTTGGATGATGGATAGATGGACTGGACAGATGAACTGAGTGGCTAGACAGAAGAGAGGCAGGCGGGAGGGAGAGAGGGAGGGAGGGAGGGATGGATGGAAGGGATGGAAGGGATGGAAGGGATGGAAGGGATGGAAGGGATGGAAGGGAGGGAGAGAGGAGCAAGAGGAACACCAACTTCTGCAGTCTCCAGCGTTCCTTTTCCTTTTCCTCATAGGTTCCACAGTCACCGCAGAGATCCAGGGGGTGATTGACGCCTGTGTTAAGCTGACAGGGATGCCAGACCTCACTCTATCCTTCATGGTAATGTCCTGAGCCCTTGTTAACCCTTTTGGCATGGAAAATGAGGTGTGTGTGGAAAGAATGGTCAGAGTGAAACAGCACAAATGTAATCAGGGCGGCCATGGAGCCTATTATACCAGGCTCTGGACGCTTGTTTGTGCTTGGTGAAAATGTCATCTGAATTGCTTTTCAAAGGAGACCCGGGAGCTTACTCCCATTTCTTTTTCTTCCCCTCCTGGTTCTGCAGAACCCCAGGTTGCTGGACGATGTTAGCTTCCATCCCTGTGTCCGTTTCAAGCGCTGGGAATCTGAGCGCATCCTCTCCTTCATCCCTCCCGATGGCAGCTTCCGCCTGCTTTCCTACCACGTCAGTGCTCAGAAGTAAGCAGCGACCAGGGCAAACTCCGTGTCTGTGGTACTTAACCTCCAGCTCCATTTGCCTGGGTTCAGGTTCCAGCTCCTCGGGTTGCTAACTGCGTCAGTGCAGTGAGCTGCTTTCCCACTCCCTCTGTGTCTTTTCTGGGTACAGCGTGTCTTTCTGTGAGAACTGAGTGGACAGTGCTTCACTCAGGGCAAGGGGTCACAGAGGCTGCCATTACTAGTTTCTGTGGCGGTATCTGTTAAGTCAGTCTTGCTCTCTTAGGCCAGTCTTGACTGGCTTTGAACTCACAGCCCTCCTGCTGGGCTTACAGGTGTGGGCCACTAGTACAGCAGCTGTTTTATATTGTTGCTCCCTTCAAAAGAACATTTTCCTCAGCGCATCAGCACATCAGTATCAGTCTCCTGACCTCTGAAAGGCAGTTGAAAGGGTGTTGAATGCAGTGAGTTTGGGTCTCACATGCTTCCATCTTTGGGGGCTCTGGTTTGCAGTAGAAGGTGTGTGGACCCAGTGGAGTTGGGATCCTACGGACTCAGGGCCCCATGCCTCTTTCCTGGTGACTCAGGGTGACTCTCTTAGGAAAATGTCTACATGCCTGAATCCATTTGCCCCAACTGAAACTCCTCCTTTCCCTATACATACAACCAGGCAAGCTTTTCAACCTCAGAGAAGCAGAAGGACATTCACATTCATGTAAAATTAGTACAGAATGTAAATGCTAGGAACCATGGTTTCTTTGAGCCCGTTTTAATGTCCCACATTGTGACAACCTACCCCGTCTCTGGGGCTTCATGCAGGTCACGAGGAAGACAGGTAAGTGTACTCTCACTAAGGGTGGGAGTGATAGCTCTCAGCTCCTGTCTAACACCTGTGAGACTCTAGGTTCAGTCCACAGTTCTGCTATGTAAACAAGCCATTCAAGATTTGTGAGATATGAGTAGTGTTGTCCTATATCCAGGCTAAACACAGCCTAGAAATGCTATAGCTCACGTCTTAAACACAGCTCAGAAAAGCTATAGCCCTAGCCCATGTCCCAAATACATCCCAGAGTGACCTCTTGCTACCGCCCCTGTTGCTACTCCAAATGACATGGTGCATAGCTTAGTTTTCTTCATTGTTACCCAAAGAGGCATCAGAATAAGAATGTAATTTTCGGCACCATTTTCATTTTTCAAAAACAAAACTAATATCACTGTTTTCTGTATTTATTTTAAGATAAGGAATTCCTTTTAAGATGAGTTGTAGATGAGGATGAAAAGGTACTATCAGGACAAGGGAAGCATACTGGAAGGAGAAAATCGTGGCAGTTTTCTTTAGCTCTTTAGTGAAGTGGAAAGCATTAAAAATTAAGATAAATGAAAGAGGAGCCCATGAGATGTCTTAGTGGGAAAACATGCAGTGAAGGCTGACTGCTCTGAGTGCAATCCTTGGAGCCCACACAAAAGAGGGAGAGAACCCAATCTCTTGAAATTGTCCTCTGAACTCCACATAAGCATAAACACACAGCACACATGTACACACACACACACACACACACACACACACACTACCTTTAAAAATAAAAAAAATAATTTTAAATAAATGAGAAAAGATATAAAGAGAATAATGAAGGGAATATTTAATTTTTAAAGATTTCTGTGTCTGTTTTCTGTGTATAAGTGTTTGCCTGCATGTATGTATGTGCACTGAATAGTTCTTAGTGCCTGTGGAGGCCAGAAGAGGGTGTCAGATCCTGTAGAACTGGAATTCTTGTGAGCATCCATGTGGGTGCTGGGAACCAAACCTGAGTCCTCTGTAAGAAAGAAGCAGGATACTCTTAGCTGCTGCTCCAGCTCTCCAGTCCCCAGAGGTTGTTTTCTTTTTTCCAATTTCTTTAGATTTATTTACCTTATGTGTTTCTCTTATGTGTATGTATCTACATCACATGCATGCCTGGTGCCTGCAGAGGTCGGAAGAGGGTGTCCGATACACTGGACTGGAGTTCCAGACAGTTGTGAGCTGTCACAAGGGTGCTAGGAATCAAACCTGCATCCTTTACAAGATCAACCAGTGCTTCCAATCACTGAGCCATTTCTCCAGCCCCTGGTGTGTTCTTTTTGAAGAGGGTGTTTTTTTGTTTTTTGTTTTTTGTTTTTTTTTTCTCTTGCAGCCTAGTTGCAATTCCGGTCTATGTCAAACATAGCATCAGCTTCCGGGACAGTAGTTCACTTGGACGCTTTGAAATCACAGTGGGACCCAAGCAGACTATGGGGAAGACAATAGAGGGTGTGATTGTCACCAGCCAGATGCCCAAAGGAGTCCTGAATATGAGCCTCACTCCATCCCAGGGGACACACACGTTTGACCCTGTGACAAAGGTAGGGGACCCTCAACACAGACTGTATACCTTACTGGAAGGCAAGATTAATCAAAGGGACTTGGTTCTAAAGACCTTTTTTTTATTTAAAGATTTTATTTTTTTTTATTATGTATACAACATTCTGCTTCCATGTATACCTGCACACCAGAAGAGGGCACAGATCTCATAACGGATGGTTGTGAGCCACCATGTGGTTGCTGGGAATTGAACTCAGGACCTCTGGAAGACCAGTCGGTGCTCTTAACCTCTTAACCATCTCTCCAGCCCGGTTCTAAAGACTTTTGACAGAGGGTTTTCTATGGAACCCTCCCCTCATCAGATGTGGCTTACAGTGTGGAAGGCAGATGCCTTGAGGTTAGAGAGCTTTGAGTTCAGATGAAAACACCACTGTGATTGTGTGGGAAAACCTCCTTCTCTATGTTTTCTTCCAAGATGCTGTCTTGGGATGTAGGAAAAATAAACCCACAAAAGCTACCAAGTTTGAAGGGGACAATGAGTCTTCAGGTTGGAGCTTCTAAACCAGATGAGAACCCCACAATTAACCTACAGTTTAAGATCCAGCAGCTGGCCATTTCTGGTGAGTGATACATCTTGGGTGGTTTTGAAAGGAGTGGAAATGGCTATCTTCTGCCAGGGGCAGACCTCGGTGTCTTCTGGTGCTCTCTGACTATGGGTCACACTAGGTCTGGTTCTATTACCCAGTATGAAATCATCAGTGAGATCATTCCCAGTTCAGACTACTTAGAAGTTAGCATGAAGACCCTGAGTCAAAATGTCTGGGACCCAATTGAGAAGTGGGTTGATGGAGGTCTTCGAAGGCCATTGTTGGATCATGCCTAAGTTGTTGGTTTGAGCTGTCCAAGGTTTTCAGTACATCTACAATCTTCACCAGGAATGGGAAGAAATAAGCCCCATAATTCTCCCAGCTTCAGCAGACTTAGCTGTTTACTTGTACTGTCTTTAGACATTGCCAGTCTTCACCAGTTTGTCCACACTTAGGAACATAATAATAGATACCATTTTCTGGGTATTTTGTTATGTCCCATCTATCCCTAAGCATTTTTTTTTTATTCCTGTTCGAATTTTAGAATGGCCTTCTGAAATCCCGAGAGAGAAATGGGCTTTATCTTTAGAGAACACTCTTGGGTTTCTTTACTAAAAGATCTTTAACTTAAGTGATTAAAGTTAAGTGATACATTCTTTCTCCTAAACCACTTAATAAGCCATAAAACTATCGACAAAATAATTTCTGTTCAGTTTGGCAAGACTGTTTAGGATGCCTTCATTGATCAGTTCATTTCCTTTCATTATTCATTAATGCTCTTATCTTTCATTCAGTCCAATAACTTGAGCAAAACACAGTGTTATTTTGTTCTCACCCTCATTGCAATCTGCTTGACTCTCTGCCCTTCCCAGTGGAAGGAGGTCTTCTCCCAAGAGAGCTGTTTGCTGGCATAATCTTTGCTGCAAATGTTCCTTTCGAGATGGCAGGGCTGTCTGCCTCTGCTTCACAGAATGGGCAGCTTAGACAGTCTGTTCCACATAACCTCTTCTGTATTAACACAAACCCAGACAGCTGTCTGCCGCTACTTCTGAGAGATGCTCATGCCTTACTTCTCTCTTCCTTCTTCCCTCCAGGACTCAAAGTGAACCGCCTGGATATGTACGGAGAGAAGTACAAGCCTTTTAAGGGCATAAAATACATGACCAAAGCTGGCAAGTTCCAAGTTCGAACCTGAAGGCCCTGTGTTACTGGAGCAGTCACAAACACTTTTTCATTTCTTACTTGTCTAAAAGTAAAATGTCAGCCTGTTTCTTAGGTCAGTTCCCTCCAGGCTCCATCTGCTCCCTTTTGTCTTCACTCTGCAGTGCCATGTAACTGATCAAGGGAGAAAAGGTTCATCAGGGGAAAGGTGGCCAAACCCAGCACGGCACTGATTGAGTTCTAGAGAAGTGTATGGTGGAGAGCAGTGATAGTGTATTTCACTACTTTTAACATGGTTGCCACAGGGAAAAAAAAAAAAAAAAAAAGACCAGCCTTTGCTGTCTGTTTAATGATCTAAATCCAATCGAAGATGTCTCTATTGAATTTTTTTAAGATAGAAAGATTTGAAAGATAAAAGAAAAAAAAGGAAGAAAAATAAGTGTGAATCCAAGAAAGACCAGTTGCTGATTTAATATGTGGGTCTGGGTTGTGACTCAGTGGCGGAGTGCTGGGGTAGGTTGTCTGCAAGACCTGGCTCATGCCTAACACCACCGGCAATGCAAAACATATCTGCTCTTTGAGGGACAAGACAGAGAGGCTGGTGTGAAGAGAGTTGTGATGAGAGATGCTACAGTGAAGGATTGGCCAGGAACTTGAGCAGTGCACGTTTCCACAGGGGCTACAAGGAGCAGAGTGGAGTGGTTTCTTTCTGACCCTTCTCATGTATAGAAAGAATTTGCATGTCTAGGACTTTCAGAGCTCAAGACCATCCTTGATGTGAACTTGCAATGGAATCGGTTCCCCTTGGAGACTGGAGTGCTATGTCCTGGCTTTTAGCACTTGGACTTGCTATTTGTGCTGGCCCATCATCTTGGTGGGAAGGTGATCTGCCAGAGCAGGCTACAGTCTTTTGCTGTTTATCTGACTCCTCCCAAAACAGTGTTTGGTGCAGCCAGATTTTATGAATTATGGTAGTGGACTTGAGATGGGAACTCATGTCCCACAGAAGTGGACCATGCCTATACATGGTGACCTCCATTAGTGTTTGTCAGGCTGGACTGGCCCTGAGCCTTGCCCTTCCTGTCTGAAGGTTTCTATCAGAAGTCCCGAGTGGGCACAGGCACACCAAGGACATGAGTACCCGGAGCTCATTCCCACCGTCTGTCCACTGTCATCTACCTATTGACAACAGACAGCTCCCAAACCACTTTTAAGTCAAAAAGGTGTCTTGAACCTTTGAATAAAATCAAATGCCATAGGAGGGCAGGCTGTATTAGCTCGAGTAGCCAACCAGTTTAAACTATGGCAGCTGAAGGAGCTTGACTTTCCTAAAGAGTATTTCTTACTCTGTTCCAGTGTGTCCATTACTCATTTTAATATCCTCATAGATGGTGGGGTTCATTGTTTCTAACTTACAGCCTAGCGAGCATATTGTGCTCTGTGTTGTGCGTGGAGGGACGGAAGACCTGTTTCCTTCAGTCCGCACAACTCTCCCCTATAGTCCTATTTGTAAGTACTTGTGCTTTATTTATTTTTTATTTTTGTTTTCTGCCTAGTTTTCTCTTGCTGACCAGTACTTATTTTTGCTGCCAAGTGGAGTTTCCTTGTGGTTTTCTTGTGGGATGAACTGTGCTGTGTACAATCAGCTGATTCTTACTGCTCTACTCCAGAATCTGGACTTGTGTAGCTCCGCACACCCAGCGTGGAGGGAGACACTCTGCAGGTGGCTTTCAGGATGCAAAGTCACTTCCACAGGCTCCGAAGGATTCTGAGATTTCTTGAGATACAGGAAACTATGAATATGTTTAGGTTCATAAGTGTGGTTCCTTTATTCCATCTAGCACTGTATAGCTTGTCTTCCTAGAAAGAGACAGTGTTGGAATATGGGACCTGCAGGCCTCGAAATCATGGATATAGCCAGGTCTGACTGTCCCCACCCAGTGACTGTCAGTTAGTAGGGGTGTAGTTCAGGGTGTCTCAGTAGCTCCTCACTCTTGTGTGGTCCATGTGCGGAAGTAGAATTTCTGTTTAAGTCTTAATAAAGCTTTACCAGTCCTCCTGTCTCTGTCTGGTTACTGAAACTAACAGCAGCTCTCCACTGTGTTTCCCATGTGCTTATTTGTGACATCTAAAGCCACATGTAGAGTGTGATTCTCCATCCAGTCACCCCTAGGAGACAGGTCATTGTAGGCAGAGTTTTCCTGTCCCGACCATCTGATCACAAATAACCAGAGTCTTAATATTAATTATAAATTCTCGGCCACTAGTTCAGGCTTGTTACTAGCTAACTCTTACATTTTAAATTAACCCATATTTCTTATCTAACGTCCACCATGTGGTTCATGGCTTACTACTTCATTTTCTACACGTCCTGATTCTGTGTCTTCTGTCAGTTTCCTTCGACTCTGCCCTCCTCCTTCCCAGCCTCCTCTGTGTCTGGCTATCCTGTCTAACTACAAGCCTATCAGCTTTTTATTACACCAATCCAAGTGACAAATCTTCACAGTGTACAAAACTGGTACTGGTGCTGTTTGTGAGATTGGTGATATGTGAGGTCCAGAGGAATCTAATGATTTTCCTAGGCTGTTAAATGGCTGTTAAAGCCTCTGGTGCTATTTTTGTGCTTTCCATGTTCTTGCTGCAGGAAGCAGAGCTGCAAGGTCACAGGTGTCTCTTGTAGAGGCTTCTGGGGGAGGTAGGCATCAACGGTGCCTTAGTTACTTTTCTGTTGCTATGACAAAACACCATGACCAAGGCAACTTATAAAAGGAAGCACTTCATTGGGCTTATGGTTCCAGAGAGTTAGAGTCTATGATAGCCAAGCAAAGGCAAGGTTGAAGGAATAGCTGAGAGTTCACATCTTGATCCACAAGCAGGAGGCAGGCAGGCAGCACACTGGAAATGGTATGGGCTTTTGAAATCTCAAAGCCCACTGCCACTGACACACCTCCTCCAATGAAACCACACCTCCTAGTCCTTTCCTTGCAGTTCCACCAACTGGGCACCAAGTATCCAAACATATGAGCCTATGGGGAACAATTCTCATTCAAGCCACCACACAGCAGGGTCTATTGCTGCCTGTCAATATCAACATGTAGTCACATTTTCAAACTGATTTTCTACAGATTTCTGTTGACTCCCTGGAAATATATGGTGCTCGTTTAAGAGTTCAGTTTCTGTTTCTCTGAGATATTAAGCTTGCATATGTATGTCTGTGTCTGTGGAAGGGGATGGGGTTTGTATAAGCCACAGCCTGCATGTGGGAATCAAAGGAGAGCTTGTGGGAGTCAGCACTCTCCTTCCATTGTGTGAGTCCGGAGGACTAAACTCAAGTCTTCGGGCTTGGTTGTAAGCACCTTTACTGATGGAACCAGATTGTGGCTCCTCTGACAGCCTCTAGTATGGTACCCTCCCCACTTTTCTGAGAATATGAAATGAGAAATTCCAGGAAAGGGTAACATCCAAGTTGTGTACCATCCCGAGTAGCCTGATGAAGTCTTTAACTGACTTCCATCCATCCCACCCTATCAGATGCTGTCTTTCCCTGGACACAAATCTTGCATTGCCCAGTGCCTACACTGCTTTCTGGTCATTAAGGACCGTCTTCACTCCTAATCAGTTCTCTTACTATCATACTCTTTGTGTTCACGGAACCCTCACTCACAGAATAGTAGTGCCAAGGAGGTCTGGAGAGGTCAAAGGAAAACCAAGAAAGTTGAAAGAGAATGCTTCTTCTCCACGAGAAATTCAAAGTTCCCAGTAAGAAAAACAATCTATGTGAAGTTTGCTGAGCTCTCAGCAAGAACAATACTTCTAACGGAAACTTTAAGCAGGAGAAAATGAGTACAATTTGGCTCTGACACTGCAGTGCCTTGGAGGTGAATGGCAAAGGCATCAGTGTCTTTGGGGGAGATGTGAAGAAAATAGTCTTCTGATCGCTGCTGTCCCTCCCTGCTGAGCTGAACTGAGTCTGCATGGGGACTTAGGGATCCCCTGGGACAAGAGACACCTGTCTAACTGGTTCTACTCTGCCAATAGTATCACTAATGCCTTACTGAATCTGGTTGTAGGATACAACATGGAGGAGAAACAGACTTTGTAGGGGTAGGTGCTGTCTGTCTTCAGACACCCACTGGGGCCTTGGAGCATGTTCCCTCCAGATCAGGACTGACTGTTGTATTCTTGCCTCAGTCTGGATGGTTGGCGGGGGGTGGGGGGGCATTGGCAGCAGGAAATGTTATCTACTTATATTTCCTTTTATGCCAGTAGGTGGTAACTAGATGCCATCAATACTGTTTTTAATTGTTAATGGCTTTAAAAAGGAAATTTAATGAGAAACCCAAGCAGGTCTTAAATATCAAGGAATGTGTGTTCAGCTTTTGTATATGGAGTTGAAAGTCTCTAACACTTTGTGATTGATGTACAGGGCTGAGCTCTGGGGGGCCAGGACCAGGGCTCTGTGTTCCTCTGCTCTTTAACAACAACAGCAACCCATACAGTTACCTGGGACCATACTTGCTCTTTAGTTCTGTTGGCCTCTTTTATTAATCAGCCAGGAAAAATGGGGCAACATTTACTTTCCATTTGACTCATTCCCTTCCTCTGGTGAATTCCAGACATCGCACCCTGCATTCCTTAACCAATCCTGGGCAGGGAGGGATGTGCTATTCTGACCCTTTGGTGTGATTCATAGGACTGTCTTGTTGGACACTGCTCCATAAGAGTCAGCAATTGTCTTCATTTGTGTATGGTTTCCAGGACTCCACTCAGGAATGTTGGGGCCTTTTGACTTTGTATTCCCATCCCAGAAGGCTTTTCGGCTTCAGTTTCGTCTCACTAACCCTAGTGTCTGAAGAAAATCTTGTTCAGTGGGGGAGGGGTGAAGCCAGCTGCTCAGCTCCGCAGGACTGGGGTGGGGGCCTTGCTTACTACTGGGCTCAAGCTGTGTTTTCGGGAATGGGATGAGATGTATTTCTGCCTAAAATCTTAGATCAAACCCTAAAGGCAGACTTGTCTGAAGTCAAGAAATATGTGACTTAGTCTCTGATTCATATTGATGGAACTGGTCTGGGGACTTCATAGATTTCGGGAAACCTCCCAACACCTCCCTCATCAAGTTCTTTTGTGAGTTTACACTATTTTTCTTCTAAGAGTCTCCAACAGGGCAGTACTGACAAACCCTCAAGAGATAAGAAAGGCCTTTCTTTCAAAAAATTTTTTTTTTACCCAGCCACACCCGAGAGCAAGCATTACATCATGAGAGATTCTTGGAACTAAGATGTGGTGAAGAAAGCTGGAGACAATGGAGAGAGGTTTATTCTATGACTGGTAAGACAGTGTGCAAGGGCCAGCAAGAGGTCAGTTTTCAAAGAGCGCCTGTAGCTTGATCCTCCAACCTATGGTGGAAGGGGAGAAATGACTTCTGAAAGTTGTCCCCTGACCTTTACACCTGCGCTGTGTATGGACACACCCCCAGACCCACATCACGCACACTAAAGGAGTTACTAGAGCAGTAGGTCACAAGCTGCATACTTGTGTGCACTGGTCTGTGAGATAACTGTTTCTGAGGAGCAGAAAACAAAACAGAATGAAGAGGGAAAAAAGCAATCCAGTTAGTAGCATTTAGTGTGAGCCATCAGTTGAGCCGTTGCTATGTTAGTAAGAGATGGTTTGGGGTTTTTCTGGCCTGTGTTGCTGTAATTACTGTCCACAGAGTCATGCGACTGTCTGCTCAGTCTGTGGTCAAAGTGTGGTTGATTTTCCAGATGCATCTTCATTTATCACCTCTTGGAGAAAAACACTCATTTTGGCTTTCAGAGTCCTTAGCATCCAATCTACAATCCTGATCAAGTTCAGGTGAGGTTGGGGACATACCTAGCTCAGTAGTGGAGTACTTCTTTAGCACACCCAAAGTCCTAAATTCAATCCCCAGCTCTGTGTTTGCAGGTGCCTGCCACTAAGTTGGATAACCTGAGTCTAACCCCCAGGATCCATATGGTGGAAGCAAAGAACCAACTCCTGTGGGTATCCTCTGACCTTCACACATGCACCAGGGACTCGGACAACTGCTGTCCCCCACATTCAATAAAAACTGTTGCTCATCCCCTGTACTCTATTGCCTCTTAGGCCGCCAAGTCTTTGTTGTCACAATAGGGAAATTCTGGGTCTCAAGACTTGCCTGACTGCAACTGCCTACTAACGCCGTCTTACCATTGTGTGAAAACCCTTATGAATCCTACTTTTCCTGATGGTCCCTTCCCACTTTCACAACTGAGGTCCAATGAGGTCTCTGCTGTGCTGGGACCAGCTCCATTCTACTTTACTTCTGTGAATGCGTCTTGTCCGTGCCAACTCACCCCACCCCATTTCTACTGTTGGTGGCACCTGGCATATTGCCTTGGGGGTAAGCAGGATTTCCACATGTTGACTGAATGAAAGGAAGTCTTTCAACTGACTCAAAAGAAAAAAGAATGTGAACACAAATAAGCCATGGATACACACCATTTGAAAAGTGTGAAAAATACCTCTGGATTTATTATTTAAGTACAGTATATATAATACAGAGTTATGGTAAAAACTAAAATAGATTAATATATAAATATGCTAATGCTACTTCAATTATTAAAATCAAATAGTTCTCTCAACTATCTATAAAGTTTATAAAGAAAAAAAGAAGATTTACACTGTATACAAAGGAATACCTCCCAAGAGTTGAGGAGTGGGAAGCGGGTGGAGAATATTTGATTTCAAAGGTCTTATGGGGCTATGATCTAGCCAGCCAACATTTATGTCTCTTAAAGGCCCTGCTGGGCCCTCCTGTAACTATAAATATACATTCTTATCCCTAATGCAAACTTTCTCTTCTGAAAGATTAACCTGGGCTTTACTGTTGAGACATGATCTTTTGTCTTGTGGTCCAGAGTACAAAATGGTGGCCCAGGAGGGTGGACTTTGGTCTACCCTTCTTTTAAATCCCAGAGTTGTGGGAGGGTTGGCATTTTCCCATCTTCTCATCAGACAGATTTTATTCTAAAAATCAGACCTTCGTCCCTGAA